CTTGAGCCACGATGCTCCTTGGATATCCTTCATAATGGGCGATGAGGAAGCTGAGACAATGCAATGGCAAGACTCAATTGGTACTGACACGGTGGCAGTCTGTACTGGAATATGTATTATTTCTACTAATGAACTTACTGGAAATAAGACATTCAATTCCTGCAAGGAAAGTTATGGGGAATGTCCTTTTTTTTTTTTTAGCAAAATGTCAGGAAGCATTTACCTTGGTGTGTTGTAATATCCTTCCTTTAGCAGTTCTAAAAGACAGGTATAAAAAGTCTCTCTGATGAGAGATTTAGCCCTGGGCACATAAAACCCTGCTTCCTCCCTTCCTCTCTGCTCTTTTTATGAGAATTTTCTCATTTCTTTGCTAAATCCAGTCATCTGCAAAAATGTCTAAGCACCCAGGTTACTTTTTACATTAGTCAGGTACACAGACCAAGTTTCTAAAATTACGGGGCATATGAAAAATTTGTTGCCTGTTTATGAATAGATTAAAGTTTTTTTTTAAATATGATTTGTATGCTTGTTAAAGGTGCTGCGGTTAATTTTATTTGAATTTTATATTGTTCGGTTTATCTGCTGAGTATCTAGATCAGAACTTGAATATTTATCAGCAACTATAATAAAAATGACGTTAGTTACTCATGTCTAAGGGCAAGGAAGGATGTCCCTGGAAATATTTAACAAAACTTTTATATGAGTTATATGAAAAAGAAGTAAAAAAAAAATAAAAAAAAGATGTGGTAATTTAAGATTCTGGGATTCCTATTGGTATGCATACAGTAGGGATAATAGATCCGTTATTATCTGTGTACCTTGGATAAGGCATTGTCCTGTTTTCCACTGGGTCTGTTTGTTAAAACTGGACTTTTCCCCCCAGACTAGGAAGCTGTAATTATATTAATTTGTAGATTAGTCAGCTAAAGCCCAAAGAAAGCCAAAATGGCCCCCATGGCTTTAACTCCGTGCCTCCCTCAGGTCCTGATCTCAAGCTGTTCCCGATGTCGAACCTGCGACTGCCTGGTTCATGACGAAGAGATCATGGCAGGCTGGACGGCGGACGACTCCAACCTCAACACCACCTGCCCCTTCTGTGGAAATCTCTTCTTGCCTTTCCTGAATATTGAGATCCGAGATCTCCGAGGACCTGGAAGGTACGTTTTTACCGATCCTTTGGAAAGGGATTTTTTTTAATGGGCAATATTTTCCACACCTGACAATTTCATAACCACCTGAACTTTTTGTAGGTACTTCTTAAAGCCCAGTCCTTCTTCGGAAACTATCCAGCTTCCATCCTCTGGGGTGAACCAGGCCGGCAAAACCTGCATTGCTGATCCCCTTTCAGGGTTTACTACCACTTTAATTCCAGCTCAAAATGACGTCGTTTCAGAAAGGTACATTTATCTCACGGTTTTTAAAACATTCTTAACTGCATTTATAACTTCCTTTTCCTCTAAAGCCCGACACCCCAAACTTGGCGAGGTTAATTGGGTGGAGAAAAATGACTTGCAAAATGCTGTCAGGCCTGGAAGCCATCTTTTACATTGGGGCCTTCAGGCCTTCCACATTTTCAACTATGGGAAAATGGGAGGGCGGATTATATGGAGTATGGGAGATATATAGTCAAAATAACCTTCCTTTCTCAGAGAGTCGAGGACACTTTGACCTGCAGCTGCGATGGTGTGAATGGGAGGATGGTCTCTGATTGGGCCATGGGATGGACATGTGGGTGCTGGGCAGGGGTTTGGACTTTCATTTGGGTGGGGAAACCTGGGAACTTTCAGATTCGGGTTTTCCCAGATGGGGCAATATGACATCTAATAAAATGGAACTTTGAGGAACCTCAAGCCTTGGAGTCTTCTTTCATTGGGGATGTCACTTGGAATGCTCCATTTTTGGTGCCAGGAGGCTTCAGGGAGGGCCTCCAGAGCCCGGGGGGTTAGTAGCCATTTTCGCCCTCCCGGAGTCTCGAGAAAAGCCTCCAGAGCCTGGGGAGGGTGAAAACACCCATACACACACTATGATGAAGGAGGCCAAGTAGGTCGTGGTGTGTGTCTGTGTGTGTGTGTGTGTGTGTTACACACGCCTGTGCAAGGACGGTTACGCGCGCATGCACAGGGGGGCAGGCGCATTGCATTGTGGGTATGGGCGCATTATTTCGGCATGCAAAGAGAAAAAGGTTAGTCATCACTGGCATAGAGTCTCCTACTTGAGCAGGAGGTCGGACTAGAAGACCTTTAAGGGTACCTTCCAACTATGTTATCCTGTAAATGGCTTAAATACCTGGAATCTTTTAAGCAGTCTATGTAAATTCTTCCAGCAGCTGCAAGGCAAAACATTTGGACACCTTCTGTGCCAAGAGCATCCAGATCCCTTCTCAGCGAAGGCATCCTTCAGCCAAAGAGGAGCCCCTTGGCCACCCCCTGTCAAGAAGCGTCAGTGCGTACAGTTCTTTAGAGATAGATGAAGTGGGAGTCCATACCCACAACCGTGTGGTGCCCACGGGGAGCTTGCCTGCAAATTTCCAGCAGAGAATGGTAAGCGCCCAAGTGTTGTGTTCCTTCTTCACCTGGATTTTCAGAAGAAACATAGCCATTCCTTTCCTATGTTCTATTCCATGCTATTCCTATATTCTATTCCATACCATTCCTATATTCTATTCTATTCCATTCCTATATTCTATTCCATTCCATTCCATTCCTATATTCTATTTTATTCTTTTCTATTCCATTCCATTCCTATGTTCTATTCCATGCTATTCCTAAATTCTATTCCATTCCATTCCTATATTCTATTTTATTCTTTTCTATTCCATTCCTATATTCTATTCCATTTCATTCCTATATTCTATTTTATTCTTTTCTATTGCATTCCTATATTCTATTCCATTCCATTCCTATTCCTATTTCGTTCCTATATTCTATTCTATTCTTTTCTATTCTATTCCATTCTTATATTCTATTCTATTCCATTCCATTTCCTATTCCTTTCTATTGCCATGGTGACAGTGGTTAGAAATGCAGTATTGCAGGCTGACTCTGCCCATAGTCAGGAGATCACACAAGGTTGACTCAGCCTTCCATCCTTTCGAGGTGGGTAAAATGAGCACCCGGGTTGCTGGGGGTTGTAAAGCAATATGTATGTCTTAAGTGCTATTGCTATTGCTAAAGTTTTTCAGTGATAATTATTTGTTTGTATCCTGCCTTTATCGTTTTTAAAAATAATTCAAGGGGATGACTCTATCCAACACACCTTCCTCACCCTCTTTTCCCCACAATAACAACCCTGGGAATTGGGTTGGCCTAAGAGAGAGGGACCGACCCAAAGTGACCCAGCTGGCTTTCATGGCTAAGATGGGACCAGAACTCACCATCTCCTGTTGCGTTCTCCTGGCCTAAAATCATCCCATTGTTGGACCTAAAGTTAACAGGTCTCCCTCTTTCCAGTTGGGTGCCTTAACCCCTTTGAGGTTTAATTATGAAATCACTTTGCTGAAAATTATCAGAGGGATCTCAGTGGGAAGTAAATCATTCCTGCTGTTGGATTGATGATTTTGTTATTGGTCATTTTACAGGTAGTCCTTAACTTACAACCGTTCACTTAGCAATCCTTTGACCTCACAGCGACCCTGTAAAATGTGTTTTAGGATCATCATCGCATCCCCATGATCATTTGATGTGGACACCAGCCTGTATTTGTGACGGTTGCAGCATCCCAGGGAGATGTGATTGCCATTTGCCATCTTCCCAACCCACTCTCAATAAGCAGAATCAGTGGAGGAAAGCTGGATTCGCTTAACAATCACAATAACAATCACTTAACAGCTGCAGTGTTTTGCTTAACACCCATCGCCAAAAAAATCAGAAAACCGGGCGTCTCCCACATAACATCCACCTTTGCTTAGCAACAGAAATTCTGGCCCTCCCTGTAGTCGTAAATTGTGGTAGCAGTTGCCTTTTACATTATTTTTGAGGCGTGCTCTGGGCTCCTTTAGGAGGAGGAACAAGAGAAACCATTAAAATGCAATTTAATTACAGTACAGTATCCCACGAGACCAACTTCTCTGTAGCTAAAAATAGTCAAAAGCAGGAAATCTCAGGAAAATCAGAAGGTACATACCCCTAACACCTGGAAGATTCAAGAGGAGGGTCCCCCAACCAAAGACCCCTTTCTCGTGATTATTCAACACAGATTTCTCACTTTGTTCTTAATGCCCCCTCTGGCATCGCAGGAGTCTGTGCAGCTGGAGTGGCATCTGCCTAGCCCTGAGCCCATCACCGTTCCTTATCTAAGTCCTCTCGTTGTCTGGAAAGAGCTTGAGAGCTTATTGGAAAACGAAGGAGATCACGTGATCACCGTGGCAGAATTTGTGGACCATCACCCCATCGTCTTCTGGAACCTGGTATGGTATTTCCGGCGGTTGGACTTACCCAGTAGTTTGCCCGGATTGATCCTCTCCTCTGAACATTGCAATAAAAATTCCAAGGTATGGAAAACAAAACATTCTGCTAATTGTAAGCATTGGTTTTGTTGGGGGAATCTAGCAGATAATTTGTGATTGTTTTTAATTTAAAGAGCTGTGAGAGAAGGGGTGGCAGAACCTTGGGGGGGGGAGCAGAGTGAAAAGGGGAATCAGCCTAGAATCCCTGCATGGTCACAAGGGAACCAAGTCCAACCCCCCCACTTGAGTACTGTTGATCCTTATCCAACTCTAACTCTTGTGAATTGATTCCTGTGCATAGACCTTGATCAATAAATCAGTTTAATTGAATCTTTTATGCGTGGACCTGATCTTTCACACCTTATATTTTAACTAAACTGGGTGCTTTGTCTCGTGGGTATAATTTTTTTTTACCTTTCTATAGAATGTATAGCCCTGATTTACAATCATGTTAAACTACAGATAGTCCTCAACATATGACCACAATTGAGCGCAAAAATTTCTCTTGCTAAGAGAGACCATTGTTAAGTGAATTTAGCCCCATTTTACAGCTTTTCTTGCCACAAGTTGTTAAGGGAATCACTGCAGTTGTTAAGTTAGTAGTACCGATCCAGCATCCTCATTGACTGCTGGTCAGAAGATCACAAAAGGTGCAACTGTTATTAGTAATATAGTTACCAAAGTAGTTGAATTTTGATCATGTAACCATGGGGATGCTTCAGCGGTCATAAGTGTGAAAACAGTAATTTTTTAGTCCTGTTGTGACTTTGCACAGTCACTAAATGAACTGTCGTAAGTTGAGGATTACCTGTACTGAAGCATTCATTTTTGCTATATTCTGGAATTTCCAGTGCCTCTTCTCATCCTGAGCTTAAATTCCATTTTCCTTCGCATTTCCCATCCCTTGTGATTTTGCTTCCAGGTGACGCTGCCTTATTCCCTTTGACAATTGTATTCAAAATCTCTTGTGTCTTCCCCCTACAGATACCCAGAAACTGCATCTTGGAGAACAGCAAGCATGTTCTGATTCAGATGTTGTGGGACAATATGAAACTCCACAAAGATCCAGGACAGCCCCTCTATATTCTGTGGAACGCCCAGAGTAAGTTCCCCGGTAGTCTTAACCATTTTATGGGAAAAGATTTCCCACCAGGCCAGAAGCCGGAAAAGATAAGGATTCGGAGTTTGATCACGCCATTCTTGTCTTACAGGTCAAAACCATACCCTTGTGTTTGAGAGTGAGTGTTGTGTTACATCTTTGCTGTGGCTGAGAAATTATTTATTCCTTGACTTACTTTCAACCACACACTTCTCTCCTTTCCTAGTGTATGTGCGTGTGTATATTTTATGTGGTTGGGTTTTGTTTTTTTTTTTTGTTGTTTTTTTTGCTTACAGCAAAGTATCCTGCATAGGCATACCTTCCCCGCCCCTTTCCCCCAGCTATTTTGTGTCCTAGTTTCATTTTCTTTGAGATAAACCCTTGGAATTCTTGCAATTATAATTTGTAGATGACTTTTCAACTTCCTCCCTGTTTTGACCTGGCCTTCAACATTCCTTCGCTTACAACTCCTATATGCCCTTGATCAGACTGTCTTTCTTATGGCTGGCTGTTCCCTGTCGCACTTCATTTTTATACCCCAGCTTCACAAAATTGCCTTTATGCAATATTTTTTAAATTTTTTTAAACCAGCTGGCAGTCTTGGGGGGTTTGTTGTTGTTGTTGTTGTTGTTGTTGTTGTTGTTGTTGTTCACTGTACTTTCTAAATGTCTTTCTACAGCTCAGAAATACCCAGTGGTCCATTTACTGCAAAAGGACGACAGTTTCTTTAACCAGGAGCTCTTAAGAAGCATGGTCAAGAGTATTAAGACAAATGATGTCTATGGACCAATGAGCCAGATCCTAGAGAGGCTGAACAAAGGACCACAGATCAAAAGGCAGAGGTGAGTCTGGAAATTTGCTTTTTTTTTTTCTTGGAAGAAAAAAATCAGAAGATTCGGTCACTCACTCATTGAGAAGGTAAAAAGAGAACAGAGAACCAAATACTCAGAATAACAGAAAGGACCTTAGAGGTCTTCTAGTCCAACCCCCTGGTCAAGCAGGAAACTTATTCCATTTCGGACAAATGGTTGTCCAATCTCTTCTTAAAAACTTCCAGTGATGGAGCACCCTCAACAGGCAAACTCTTCCACTGATGAATTGTTCTAACTGTCAGGAAATTTCTCCTTAGTTCTAAGTTGCATCTCTCCTTGATTAGTTTCCACCCATTGCTTCTTGACCTGCCCTCTGATGTTTTGGAAAATAGCTTGACTCCCTCTTCTTTGTGGCAGCCCCTTGGATAGTGAAAGTCTGCTATTGTATCATTTCTCCTATTCCAAAAGAATTGTGGCATCTGGATTTTGAGTTAAAGTGTGGTATTTTTGTCCCACTGGTTTCCTTAGTTTAGGTCCATACATTGTATTGAGATGGGTTGAAGCATCTTCCCTTGGGCTGAGCATTTGGCAGGGCTCCAAGCATTCAGTAAAGCTATAGGTTTAGTCATTAAAAACCCCTAATTGTTCGTTTGTTTCATTTAAAAAATGTGCATAGTTGCCCATCTTGAACAAGGACTAGGGGTCTCGTGATAACTGTCTTCCAGTACTTGAGGGGCTATCACTGAGAGGAAGGGGTCAAACTGTTCTCCAAAGCATCTGAGGGTAGGACTAGAAGCAATGGATGGAAACTAATCAAGAAGAGACTCAACCTAGAACTAAGGAGAAATTTCCTAATGGTGAAAACAATCAATGGAAGGGCTTGTTTCCAGAAGTTGTGGGTGCTCCATTTGTGGAGGTTTTCGAGAAGTTACTAGTCAGCCCATTTGTCTTGAATGGTCTAAAGTCTCCTGCTCAAGCAGGGGTTGGACTAGAGAACCTCCAAGGTCCCTTCCAACCTTATTTATTCTAATACAAGCTCACAGCAGCACTAAAACCAAGTAACTATAACATATAACCATAAAACAATCACATAAACCTCACCTCCCACCCACCCCTACCCCAATCAGGTGCTCCCGGCAAGCTCCATGTACCCTCATTCTGTTCTATCTCTTCTGTTCTATCCTATCTTTAGCACCTGGCTAAAACAAAGCAGGTCTTGACAGCCTCCCAAAAGGCTGTGGGGAACTGCCAAATCAGCAGGGTGAGCCTGTTCTGAATTGTTGACCTTTTCCTTGAGATGATGCTTCCAGATGGCATTTTATCACTTACGAATGGAACGTACTTGAGAAATTGTTGTACAATGCGAGCTATTTTTACATCAGCACTTCCCTGTAAAAATAGCCTGCGCTTTTTAAACATTTCCAAATATGTTCTGTGCTTATGGGATTTGTCCTATCACAAAAGACTTGCGGCAACACCATCTCTTCCTTTTGTCCCTGCTTCCTCTTTGTTTGATTTCGGCAACACCACCATTCCAGTTGTGGGTTCCGGGCGGTACGGCCGCTGCACCACTCTTCCACTTTACCAAAGGATCCCTTGGTAAAATGGCAAGCTATTGTTTCTTAAGTTCATTCTTCATAATAGAAAATATTTGTAGCTTAGGTTTCAGATTTTGGCAGTGGTTTATGTGAAGTTTCCAAAGAACACCCTAATTAAAGGATGCTCTCGAAGCCCATTTCTTCATTGTTAATTATTTAATTATTATTTAATTATTAAATAATCAATCTATAATTATTAAGTTGATGATTCATTAAGTGTCCTTAATCAGTGCAAGACAGCACATTAAAAAAAAAACAGTAAATGCTCTCTCTGCTCCAGCCCTGCTTGTTTCAAAGAAGCGGGAGATTTCCAGAGCAGCTGCTTCGTTTCCTTCCGTTTAGGGCAGGGGTGTCAAACGCAAGGCCCCTGGCCCTCCTGAGCTCCCTTTTCACTGGCAGAGGGTTGCAGGAGGCCGTTGCAGCCAAAATCAGAGCTCGGGAGCCCGTTTGATAGCGGATTTAAAACAGTGACTGAAAAATAAAGCTTTCCCATTTTATTTTGTCTGTTTCATTTCAGGAGTCTTTATAGAGAGATACTATTTCTCTCTCTCGTTGCTCTTGGAAGAGATAATATCGATATAGGTAAGTGATGCATGCCAGTATTGTTCTCCTAAGTATGTGTTAAATGTTTACTGCAAACTATCGCTTCTGATCTTGGAAAACATATTTGTATTTGAAAAGTGTTGAGTCCTCTTAATATACCCTATTTTCCCGAAAATAGGACCTCCCTGGATAATAAGCCCAACCTGGTTTTTGAGCATATGCACTAAAATAAGCCCTCCCCCAAAATATTGCAACACAGCAGCAGCCATGAGGTGACCACGTTCGCCGCTTCCTGCACCTCAAAAATTATAAGACCTCCCTGAAAATAAGGCCAAGCGCTTATTTCAGGGGTCAAAAGAAAATAAGATCCTGTCTTATTTTTGGGAAAATACAGTAACATACAGGTATTTAATCCTTTCTGTTCTCCAAAATAAGGAATAAATTTGGCAGGGGAAGATTGGGTTCAGAAAGTCCGGTAGAGAAGCTTGTGTAAAGTAGAATAATTGAATTTGTTTCTCTGCACAAAAATACTTTCCCCAGAAAATGATCCTTAATTGCAGACTCTGGCTTTCTTTGGCTTTTTAATGGGGGGAGTAAAATTTCCCATTTCCCAACCTTGATGCTGTTTCCAGGCTGAATTAGCATCTCTTCCCAACGATGGTCATTCACTCAAATGTACCATCCCAGTTCCAGCCGGAAAGGTAGCCATGGTAATTGCCAGAGACAAAAGCTTCCAGCCTCCTTTGAAAATATGCTATGCTAGTTTTCAAATCAATTAATCACCAGTCACAAGCCCCTTCTTTTCAGCACTATCATAACGTTGTACGGTTGTTAAATCAGGTACTGCCTGTATATTAGCCTCCCAAAAATAAAGACTTTGAAAACATGAGCTTTTAAACTGTGCATCTTCTTATATATTTTTGATAGGTATCTTTTTGCATGTGGCTACATTTTTATATATATAGGGGGTGGGTGGGGGTGTCTGTGTGGGTGGGTGCACGCACACTTTTGTATGTGCCTATGTGTGTGCCTTTGTGTGTATATACATTTATATATCTCTCACACACATATCTCTATCTGCTTATCTATCATCTGTCATCTCTATCTCTATCTATCATCTATCTATCTATCTATCTCTATCTATGTCTCTATGTATTTCTAATCTATTTATATTTGTTTATCAGTTATCTGTTCTGACCTAGACTTCCCAAGAGCATGAAACAAACTCCTTGTTCCGCCAAAAACCCCTTTTATTAATTTGCTGTGAATTCCGCTCATTCACATCCAGCAAAGTCTTTCAAGGGAGGATTTACAGTCACAGACCTTATCTGGCTTAGAGAGCTGACAGGCTGATATCTGCAAAACTTGGAAAGGAGTCTCGGAGAGTCACAAACCAATTAAGTGAACTAATTGTCTCCTGCAAACTCCACTCCCCATTCGCTCCTCTGTTGTAATATAGTTCCTTGTGTAGGTGTGTGTCCTCCATGGCCTAGTTCATACTAGGGCCTGCAGAGTCACGCTGAATCACACAGGAGAAAACAAACTCCTAGAACGCCATAACATCCTGATAGTGAATAACATAACATTCTGATATGTGCCCTACCATTGACGTCCAGGATTTGACCATATATAGACTGAGCAGTAGATTAGAAATTGTACTTTTACAGGCTGTTTTTAAACACATGCTATTGCTCCTCCTGCCTTTGTTCTATCCCAATAAAAGGGGCTACCAGACCCCCAATCTGGGTCGCTCCATCTCGAGAAAGTTCGTGTCCTGTCTTTTCTCAAACATTGGCCTCATGGTCGACCCACGGGAACATCACATTTGGTAGCAGAGGATGGTTACTTCACACTCCTCTTTTATTTCCTCTGGGAGGGGCCATTCATGATCCACCTCTGGCCTTATTCCCAAATCAATCCTGTTCTTTAGCTGTTCCCTTTGTCTGGTAACTCTGCGCATGCGCACACTGGGAACAGGCTCCAGCTATTCTTCTGCCTCACTGATGTATGACTTTGAAGGCAGCTGATAACTGTCAGACAACCCTGGCCCCCTCTCTGCCTCCAACACAGAGCCCTCATCAGAGCCTTCCCCAGACTCCAGGAATGGCCCATGTTCCTCCCCAACCTCCTCACTGTCTGAATCAGTTGCCAGCTCTGCTGGCGGCCACAATACTATCTGTCTACCTGTTCTATCTCCCGTGTCTATCTTCTGTCTATCCTATCTATCTACCTACCTACCTACTCTGTCTGCCTCCCTGCCTGCATAATCCCACGCTATAGATATTTTCTTCCTCTCTCTCCAGATGCTTTCGACAGAGAATACAAGATGGCTTACGATCGTCTCACCGCGAATCAGGTCAAGAGCACCCACAACTGTGATCGGCCACCAAGTACTGGTGTGATGGAGTGTCGAAAGACATTTGGGGAGCCGTATCTCTAGATGGAATCATGGCGCGTCATGAAGTGCTTTGTAGGTGAACAGTAAAAACAGCCGCCGCAGACTCTCCTCTGAGAAGAAGCCTCTGGGCCTTTGTCTAGAGGAGAATTCCTGCAAGGAACACAGCCCAGGATTACGAAAGACCCCTCTCCCTTCCCGGGCTCTCTTTTCATCTTGACGCAGAGATAAGCCACGTGGCGCAGAACACGGAGCATTTTGCGGCAGAAAAGGGCAAATCAGGGTGGACCAGAAACACGCAGGGAAGGGAGCATGCATCAAATAAGCTTTTGAAATAAACTGTTTGCCGAGGAGGTGCAAAAAGTGACAGAAAGCAGGCCAGAATTATATTATAACAGATTTTAAATTATTTATAGCAAGTTCATATTTTTTTAACTTTTTAAATTCCAAGAGTGAACCGAGGGACTTCATTGCCTGAACAATACTTTTCAGAATATTGCTGTGTATAGCAACAGGTCTGATTTCCCCCCACCCCCTTCCTTTTTTCTAAAGAAACACCTCTTTTGTTTAGCTTTTTTTTTTTTAATGTAACAGAGAACTTTCGGTACTATGTTTCCTATCCTGCAAAATCTATATTTACGTAGCTCGTTTTAGCTGACAAGTATTGCTGACTCAGTAACAGGAAGCTTGGTAAGTTAACCAGATTTGTTACAGTTTGAACACTGAAGCTGATGTCACTTTCCTTCTGTCCCCCCCCCAAGCTGAGATTCTCCAATATTTTTCTGTAAAAAATCATTGAATATTAGAAGCTGAATCTTTGCAAAGAACAGTCTAAAGGCATCTGTGGAGCAGAGTGCATGCATCTCTGTACAGCTAGTCCTTGAATTAACGACCACAATTGGGACCAGAATTCCCGTCACTAAGCAAAGCAATTGTTAAACGGGTCATACCTGATGTTACAACCTTTTTGCCATGGTTATTAAGCAAATCACTGCCATCGTTAAGTCAGTTCTTAAATTAATCCAGCTTTCCCCACTGACTGGGAAGGCCAGAAGTGGTGATTACACGATTCCAGGACATTGCAACCATCGTAAATACATGCCAAGCATCCCAATTTTAACCACATAAATTGGTGCCGTGATGCAAGTCACTTTTTTTTAAAGCGCTGTTGTAACTTTAAATGGTCGTTTACAGGAACGGTTGTAAGTCGGGGACTATCTGTATATTGCAGTAAGGAGCTGAGCATTTGGAAGGCTGCAAAATATTCAGGCAGAATTGCGTCTTTTCACTTTCTATTGTTCATGTCTGTGCTTCTTGGTTTTCTAAGAACCGGAGGAGTTGGCTTCCCATATTTCAAACTGGCATATTGATGGAGAATTAGGTGTCTGTAAAAGCAACTCCCTGCCAGAGGTGCACAGTGCTTCAAATTCAGATCCTGCGCATTGCCAAAGATGCTTTGGAGGGCTTAGGAACATGGGAATAGCATCTGGAAGCAGCCGTGTCTTCCCTATATTGGGCATAAATGATCCTTGAAAAAGACACAGTTGATTTCCAAAATGTTATTCTTATGGTTTCATCTTTCTTATTATCCAATTCAGGAGTCTCCAAACTCGGCAACTTTAAGACTTGTGGACTTCAACTCCCAGATTTCCCCAGCCAACTTATGCTCCCTGCCAGAGGTGCTTATGCTGGCTGGGGAATTCTGGGAGTTGAAGTCTACGAGTCTTAAAGTTGCCGAGTTTGAAGACCCCTGATCTAATTTAAAGGCAGATTTTATCAGATTCAAGTCTGTGCTAATAACAGATGAGATGCTGATTTATGCTTAATCCAGGAAAAAATACTTTCAGTACAAAAAAATCAAAGAGTGACTCTGTGGACACGTCCACTAGTTTTCCTTTCAACAAGATGAAAAGGAAACCTTTTTCCACGGTGATTTTTGATTTTGCATTCTTGCCAAGAGGCCCGGGATTTCTTACTGGTCCCCCATATACAATAAATGCTAATTTAGCTTTTTTTTCCTCCAAGGTCATCTCAAACTAGGTGCCCCAATGCATTTTAATAATTGCATTATTGAGATTTTGATTCCATCAGTTTCCTTTGCTTTTGAAGGATTTAAACAGCATTTGCCCCTCCATTTAAAGAAACTGAAATCTGAAGCCATTACAGGTGAAACTCAAAAAATTAGAATATCGTGCAAAAGTTCATTTATTTCAGTAATGCAACTTAAAAGGTGAAACTGATATATGAGATAAGACTCATTACATGCAAAGCAAGATAGTTCAAGCCGTGATTTGTCATAATTGTGATGATTATGGCATACAGCTCATGAAAATCCCAAATCCACTCTCTCATAAAATTAGAATATTGTGCAAAAGTTCATTTATTTCAGTAATGCAACTTAAAAGGTGAAACTGATATATGAGCTAAGATTCATTACATGCAAAGTAAGATAGTTCAAGCCATGATTTGTCATAATTGTGATGATTATGGCGTATAGCTCTTGTTGCTCCTTGGTCCAAAGTCTTCTTTTCTGATGAGAGCAACTTTTGCCAAAAGTACCAAAAACTGGTTCAATGACCGTGGAATTACTGTGCTTGATTGGCCTCTCCATTCTTCCTCCATACTCTGGGTCCTTGGCTTCCAAATGAGATGCAAAAAATTCATATATTATGAAAATCTAAGGGGCAATACAGCAAGATTTTTCTTCCTGCCATACTCCTGTCAATTTCCCTGATGAACCATACTTTTCTACAGTTCTGAATCCAACTTTTATTTATTATTGAATTTTTAGACTGTCCTCTCTAGGAATTGTGTGATAAAGCTGGATATTCTAAATTTCCAAAATCACTTACTGCTAATGATTTAGCAATGTTGGGGCTTATGTGTCTGTTAATTTCCCTGTACAGTTCCTAAGTTATTGTATCTCCAGAGGAAACAAATATAAGCGCCTACGGTACTTCATTTGTGCACTACAGGTCATCCTCATTTAATGACCACAGTTGGGACTGGCCATTTGGTCATTAAAGTGAAGCAGTAAAAGAAAAAAACACAATGTGCTTATGATCTGACTCCGGCCTTCCTTTGCTTCACCAGTCTGCGAAGATCATAAATGTGTGAGAATTGCTCATATAGCCGATGTTGTAACTGTGGACTATCGCTAAATAAGGCAGTCGCTAACAAGATGCCAGCTTCCAAACTGTATGAAAGCCTCTATTTTATAATATTTTGTAGCCATGACGGAAGGAAGCCTCCTCCTGAGCTGTAACTTAGGGCTTAAGAGAACCACTAGCCAGAATCGATGCTTAAGCTGGAAACCATCATTCATTTAGTTTTGGCAGATATGCTTCCTGATCAGGAATATTTGCTTGGAGCTTTGCTTAACCCAGGGGTCGACAAACTTAAAGATCCATTTGGACCCATTTCCCACAGGAAAGAAAACACAGGGAGCCACAAATGTCCTAACCAGAAGCCCCCTGTTCAATTCTGGAGCTGACTGGAAGTTCGGTTCCCCCACCATAGAGTCTCCTCCTAGTGCTGCATACTTTTTCCTCTACCTGTCATAACCGAAAACCCTATCAGTTGTGGAGACAACTGGAAAACCCTCTCCTTGCCATAGAGTCTTCTGGCGCAGTGTGCTTCTCTTCCCCCCCTCCCCCACCGGAAGCTCCTCTCAAAATTGTGGCGGTGACGGAGCCGCAGCAGAGGGAGGAAAGAGCCACATGCGGCTCCAGAGCCTCAGTTTGCTGACCCCTGGCTTAACCCAAGAGAACTGTATAACGACTGGGAAAAATATACAAGCAGTCCTGGACTTAAGACCACAACTGAGCCCAGAATTTCTGTTGCTAAGTGAGAAATGTGTTAAGTGAATTTTGCTCCATTTTACAACCTTTCTTGCCACATTTGTTATGTGAATCGCTGCCATTGTTAATTTAGCAAATGGTTGTTAAGTGGGTTCTCCATTGGCGTTGCTTGTCAGAAGGTCACAAATAACCCTGGGACGCTGAGGCCAAGCATCCAAATGTAAATCACCTGACCATGGGGATGCTGCATAAGGGTGAGAAATGGTCCCAAGTCACTTTTTTCAGTGCCGCTATAACTTTGGTCACCAAATGGACTGTTGTAAGTCAAGGACTACCCTGTAGCCTCATTCTAATGAAAGCACTTCCTGTGAGCTTCTCTTTAGATGTGGTTCATTCAAAGATTGCAGCCAAAGTACCAGGCTGCTACTAAAAAATGACCCCGTCATTCAGTTTAAGTAGGATAACTCCAACTTTCACAGCCAGTCAGTATGGAGGGTCTTCATGGACAGCCAGAGTAACTAACAGAGAGGGGTTAAAATGTATAAAACCAGAAACATCACTAGAAGCTAAAATCAGAAGGCTGTATCTGAATTATTTTGTCCGTGTCATGCGTGCACATTCATTGCAGAAAGCAACGATGCCAGGAATGGTTGGAGGAACAAGAAGGGGCAAAGAAAGAGCTCGCTGGCTTGATCACATCAAATTTGATGCAGACTTGAACATCCAGCAAGTGAAAGAAGCTGTGCTTGAGGGGGTAGCATGGGGAGCACTTGCCTATAAAGTCACCAAGAGTTGGACATGACTAAATGGTTAAAAAACAGAGTCTTCAACATCTGTCACATAGAAGAGGGAGTCAAGCTATTTTCCAAAGCACCTGTAAGCCAGACAAGGAATAATGGATGGAAACTGATCAAGGAGAGATTCAACCTGGAAATAAGGAGATTTTTTTGTCAGTGAGAACAATCAACCCATGGAACAGAAGTTGCCTTCAGAAGTTCTGGAAGCTTCATCACTGGAAGCTTTTAAGTAGAGACTGGACTTCCATCTGTCAGAAATGGTGTAGGGTCTCCTGCTTGGGCAGGGGGTCAGACTAGATGACCTACAAGGTTCCTTCCAACTCTGTTAATCTCATTAAACATTTAATAATCTGCTACATATTCATAGCATCAAGTTCAGGAAGTGGAATCTTACCTTGACCTTATCTGTACAATCAAACAATACAGGTAATCCTAGACTTACAACCACAATTGGGTCCAAAATTTATTTTGCTCAAAATTTATACAAAGAGAATTCTGGGGCCTCTGCTGGCCAAACCATGAAATTCTGCCTCATTTTACATTCCCTTAAAAAGCAACTCGAGACATTATTATATTATTATTATACAATTTTATTATTATTATTATTATTATTATTATTATTATTATTATTATTATTATTATAGTGAATGAAAATGAAATGCGGCATTCCCTTTAAGCCTCCTGTTTTATCCTAATATTTTGCAACAGTTTTGTACTTCCCCTCGTCATGAAACCAGTCTCCCCTCTGTTTGCTTCAGGGTATCGGACGGAATAAAATGTTTGTAAATAAGCCTTTATCAAGAATCTGATAAAAGTGTTTTATCTTAGTAAATTAGCATTCCAGTAGGAAATATTTTACTCCCAAAGACAGAAATGGAGACTTATTACATGTAAATGTGTACATAAAACATAAAAAGAAAAAAGAAAATCTGGGTTTCCAGAAAGTAATTTTATCTCTCAAAAACATACGATCTCACTGGAATTTCAAAACACATTAATTTGCAAAAGAGCATTTCACAAAGGAATGGTTGTAGATTTGTACATACAAACTGTTTACATTTTGTTTACCAAAAAAAGGACATCAGTTCAAGTGTTTATTTTTGGTTTCAATTTTGAGATGTATATTTCAATCTTCACAATGGGAAAACGTATTTTTTTCCTGAAATGTCATAGAGAAGAAAAAAAGACTATTTAAAGTTTTACAAAGACTCAATAAAGAAAAGTTTAAAAAAAAGATCCTTGTTTGTATTTTTTTTGTTGTTGTTGTTATCAAGCAGGAATACCTGTAATTTCTTTACACTTCTTTTCAGGCTTCATAAAGACTTCAGTATCGAGAGTGGATTGTAACAGAAAGAAGACCTGCAGTCTTAAATTGCTATTTTTCCCTATTTTCTGCTTTATATCTTTACAATAATGATGTCAGCCCTGCAAGATAAACCAAGGCTGACTTCATTTATTAATAGATTCTTAACTACACTATAGATCAAGGGTGTCCAAACTTGGGAACTTTAAGACTTGTGGACTTCAACTCCCAGAATTCCCCAGCCAGCCAGAATGGACTTCAACTCCCAGAATGTCTGGCTGGGGAATTCTGGGAGTTGAAGTCCACAAGTCTTAAAGTTCCCAAGTTTGGATACCCCTGATCTATAGATAGTAACAGAAGCTTGTGTCTTCCCTCTCCTCCCTCTACATCCCTCAATATCTCAAGGGCCCATAATAGCTCAAGAATCTCTTCTACATACTATGCCCCTTCTCAGGGCTTAAGCTTCTGCCCATATTTCTGTAACACCACCTGAATCCAGGCAGTTCTCAAGTTAAAACTATTTGTTTAGGTGAAGGTTTACCTGTCCAGTTGTGTCCAACTCCAGTGGTTGGTGCTCATCTCTGTTTCCTAGCTGAGCATTGAGCATTGAAGATTTTTCTGTGGTCCTGTGGCCAGCATGACATACAGCATCGGCCAAAATTTAGGAAAACCTTATGGGAGAAGTGTGTTTTTGGCGTTTGATGGCTAATAACACCACTTTTTTTTTAATAGTGCCATACAATTATATATCAAAGGGAAGATAATTTAATCAAAAAAGTAATGCAACAAATTATCTGTATTCTATGAAAACTTATAGCCAAATAACCAGAAGAAGGAAGCACAACTTAGGTTGATCTCAGGTAGTTTTCCTTCATCTGATTGTAGCCAATGAGCATGAGTGTTTAGAGAGCCAAATAGGTGTCATCTTGTTTTGGCAATGAGCCAATCAGATAGGATTCAGTTATTGATGTCATGTATTGAAGCTGAGAGGAGGATATTTGTCAGTGTGTGTTACGTGATTGCTATCAAGTTGGTCAGGTGGGTTCCTACCAGTTCGCACCTATTCGGTAGAACCGGTTCGTCAAATCTACCGAACCGGTTAGAAGAGGTTCGACCAGTGGACCCGGAAAGCAGGCCACACCCACAGAAGAGGTTCCAAAATTTTTTGAAACCCACCACTGGCAAGGATTTTGTAACTTGACAGCTTTAAGACTTGCATACTTCAATGCCAGAGTTTCTGAATAGCTACTTGGACCGACCTAAGTACTAATTCATAATTTCATATCCAGTCACATGGGCGGCAAGCCACTCCCATCCAGTCACATGGGTGGCAAGCCACTCCCACGAAGGAGGCCACACCCACAGAGTAGGTTCCAACAATTTTTGAAACCCACCACTGAAGTTGGTTGAGTTTTTTGTGTGCTTTCACTTAGTGAGCTTGTAAAACAGTAATAAAATTAAAGTAATGGCGCAAAGAGTTGACTGGTCGCCCAGAAAGCAATGTAAAATAGTAATATCAAGTGAACAAGGCTACAGTTATAAATAAATTAGAAGAAAAATTGGTGGAAACTTAACCAAAGGTAGCATTTCTAGGTTTTTGAAGAGGTATAAGGAGACTCCGTCATTACAAAGCTACACTAGCAAAGGCAGGTAAAGGTGCAGAACAGCAAGTGACGATAGAAGAATTAAGAGACTGCCTACGTGACAGAAGAAAATCATCTGAGTGCATACAACATGAAGTGGCACAATGCAATGTGAAGTTGAGTGCAAGGACAGTTCGGCGCAGGCTGCAGGAATTTGGTCTAAAATGTAGAATTCCAAATAAAAGCTGCTATTCTAATACCAAATCCTTCATAAAAGTTATTGCATTACATTTTGATTAAATTATCTTTCCATTGATATATAATTTTATGGTAAAGGTAAAGGTTTCCCTTGCATATATGTGCTAGTTGTTCCTGACTCTCAAAGCCGAAGAGCCAGCGCTGTCCGAAGATGTTCTCTGGTCATGTGGCTGGCATGACTAAACACCAAAGGCACATGGAATGCTGTTACCTTCCCACCAAAGGTGGCTTCTATTTTTCTACTTGCCTTTTTTTGTGTGTGCTTTCAAACTGCTAGGTTGGTAGAAGCTGAGACAAGTAACGGGAGCTCACTCCGTTATGCGGCGCTTGGGATTCAAACCATTGAACTGCCAACCTTTCTTATTGACAAGCTCAGCGTCTTAGCCACTGAGCCACTGCATCCCGTGTCAATGTATGGTACCACTCCAAAAAAAGTGGTGCTATTAGCTATCAAACCTCAAAAATACTGTACACTTTTCCCAAAAGGTTTCCACAATTTTGGCCACTACTGTATGCTGAGGTGCACAGAACATTGTTACCTTGCCACCAAAGTGATGCCTATTTATCTACTTGCGTTTACATGCTTCCAAACTCCTAGGTGGGCAGGAGCTGGGGTGAGTAATGGGAGCTCACCCCGGGTGAGGTCTTGAACTTTAACTGTCAGTTTTCCAGTTGACAAGCTCAGCATCTTTAACTGCTGAGCCATCATGGCCCTTTAATCCCTTAGTGCAGTGGTTCCCAAACTTGGCAACTTTAAGACTTGTGGACTTCAACTCCCAGAATTCTCCAGCCAGCTCTGCTGGCTGGAGAATTCTGGGAGTTGAAGTCCACAAGTCTTAAAGCTGCCAAGTTTGGGAACCACTGCGTTAGTGTCATTCAATGTTATGACGGAGCTGAGAAAAGTGATTTCCAACCATTCCTTGCACTTGAGAACTGTTGCAGTATCTCTACATTCATGTGATTAAAAATCAGGCCCTTGGCAACTGTCACGTATTTAGGGCGGTTTTCTTAATAACGTTGCTGATGTGGTTTGCTTGGGTATCACCTGGAGGTCTCCCATCCAACCTAGCACTGATCAGACCTAATCCGGTTTAGCTTCTCATCCCAACCTGGGTTAGGCAAACGCTGCCATCTGTGCGGGGCTCCTTCTGGACTGGAGGCGTTTGCTATTTTGTTTTTATCCTGTTTAGGAACTGGAACATCACCCTGTGGGTTTTGGGCAGGAGATCAGCCAGTTGAATGAACCCATCCATTTTTTTTTATTTTTCATTTTATTTTACAAAATAAACCAGCTCAATGGCTAAATTCAGCCCTAAATTGAAATTTAAAAAATGAACAATTCCTGTCCCAGTCAGCTTAGACTTAACAGCTTTCAGACCCCGTTTATTCAATGCCTAATGGAAAACCACACTATTTCTTTCCATAGTGTGACCCAAGGCAGAGTAAAAAAAATCTAACAATTCATCATCATCATCATCATCATCATCATCATCATCATCATCATCATCATCATCATCATCCTGCAAACAGCTGTTTCACTAGCTGCGAAGTCCTCCTGGCTGCCCTCTAGCGGTCGCGCCGCCCCGAATAGGCAAGTTCAGCACCAGGCCCCTACTGAGTCTGCGCCCGCGGCTCACGCATGCTCAGAAGAGACGGCCCCTGGAGATCCCGGAACCAAATTTCCCGGCCGTGGTGGCGCCAGGGAATGTTTTGAAATTCACACGGTGTGGGAGGAGGGGGGAGGCAGGGGAGCCCCGGCCGTGGGGAAGACTGACGCGGTGCACCTGTGTGGAAGGGGGCGGGGGGGGCTTCCTGCCGGAGACCCCGCCATAAACGGCTTGACCGGGGGACCCAGAACAGCGAAGGTGAGCAGAGAAGTTTAAGCGCGGATGGGAGACCACCAGGAAAGCCCTGGGCGGAAGGGGGGTGGGGAGATGGGAACTCATCCTGGGTAGGGCAGTTGCGCCCCAGAGTCCAAGAAAGGGGAAGCGGCGGGGGGAGGAATGAAGAAAGGAAGGAAGGAGAAAAAGGGAGGAAGGAGAAGACGAAAGAAGGAGGGAGGGAAGGAAGGAATGAGAAAAAGCGAGGAAGAGGAAGGAGAAGATGAGGAGGAGGGAGGGGAAGGAAGGAAAGGGAAAGAGGAAGGAAGGAGGATGAAAGGAAGAGGGAGGGGAAGGAAGGAAGAGGAAAGAGGGAAGAGGAAAGGAAAGAAGGGAAAAAAGGAAGGAAGGGGGAGAAGATGAAAGGAAGGAAGGAGAAGATGAAAGGAGGAGGGAGGGGCAGGAAGGGGAAAGAGGAAGGAAGGAGAAGTTGAAAGAGGGAGGAGGAAAGGAAGGAAAGGGAAAGAGGAAGGAAGGAGCATAGGAAAATAGTGGAATGGAAGAAAGAAACGATAAAAGAAGAAAACAAAAGAAAGGAAAAGGAAAAAAGAAAAGCATGAAAAATGAAAGGAGGAAGGATGGGAGGAAGAAAAAAGAATGAAAGAAAGGGTGAAAAGGAAGAAAAGGAAGGGAGGAAAATGGGAAAAGGAGGGAAAATGGAAGGAAGGGAGGAAAAGAAAGAAGCATGGGTGTCCTCCCCTTTCCAATTTCTCAGTCACCACTTGAATAGTTTGCTCTTTGTAAGTCGTTTCTCCCCTCCAACTTCTTCATTTCTACTTTGAGGCTCTTGATGTTCTCTGAACTTGGTTGTATCCACTTCACTCGCTCTGCCCCGAAGATGCTCCTTAGCCTGGTAGTGAAACCTTTGCAGGAAAACAACCAGATTTGAAAAAATCCAAGAATCCAAAAATTCAACCTGCATATATTCCCTACTCTTGGACTTAACGCTTTCCTAGCTCCCTGTTCTGGCTTTTTCATCTTGCAGATTATTGCTTTGACTAATATAAAATACACATATTGCACATTTGGGGTTTTGCTGGCAGCAATAGTCTCAGGATACACAATGTGTTAAACCTTAAATTAAACTAAACTGGCTTATTTGTGATTCACTTCATTTTTTGAATCCAGCCAATTGTCTCAGCATGTTGTATGAATAAGTCTTCTGATGAGGGCAAAAGACGGCCTATTAGCTTTAGTGTGTAATTTAGCAAATGTATTTTGTTAAATAGAAAAGAATGAATGAGCTGGAAGGGACCTTGGAGGTCTTCTAGTCCAGCCCCCTGCTCAGGCAGGAGAACCTATACTATTTTTGTCGAGGGAGTGGAAGGTGAGGGTTATGTGATTGTTTTATGGTTATGTGTTATAGTTACTTGGTTTTAGTGCTGCTGTGAGCTTGTATTAGAATAAATAAGGTTGGAAGAGACCTTGGAGGTCATCTAGTCCAACCCCTGCTTTAGCAGGAGACTTTATACCATTTCAAGACAAGTGGCTGTCCAGTCTCTTCTTAAAAACCTCCAGTGATGGGGCATCCACAATTTCTGGAGGCAAGCAGTTCCAGTAGTTAATTGTTCTCACCGTTAGGAAGTTTCTTCTTAATTCCAGGTTGCTTCTCTCCTTGATTAGTTTACATCCATTGTTTCTTGTCCTCCAATGCTTTGGAGAATAGCTTGACCCCCCCCCCTCTTCTTTGTGGCAGCCCCTCAAATACTGGAATACTACTATCATGTCACCCTTAATTCTTCTTTTCGCTAGACTGGCCAAACCCAAATCCTGCAGTTATTCTTCATATGGTTTAGTCTCCAGGCCTCTGATCATCTTAGTTGCTCATTTCTGATGCATTTGTAGTTTTGTAAAGATTAATAGAATTGGAGTCTGCCTCCCCTTCAGAACTAAATTAGGATTCAGGAAGGGAAGTTCCTGAGAGAATAAGAGAAAATGATTGAAAGGAGGAAAGGAGGAAGAAGATTTACTAGTAGAATAGAATGAAATATGGTAAATATTGCCAATGGTATATAGCTAATATGATGATACTATTGATTGTGGATAACTAAGTGAAATGTTTACTATATAAAATTAAATTTGAGGATAAATGCTACTGATAGTAAAACAATAATAGATGGAAATGAAATGTTAAATTTGATTAACTTGGAGAGGCAAATAATGATGTTTATATATGAAGAGAAATTAAAATTAAGCTGGAACATATGGAAAGAAAATAAGATGACTGAAACGTGAAATGAAAATATGATGTAAAATGAACTATGCATAACAGAAGATGCAAAGAGGGAAAACCCAGACAACCCTTTGTTTATAAAAAAAAAAAGTTAAAATACACCATATTGCCAAAAGTATTCGCTCACTCATCCACCCAGCTCAGTGAATTCTAGCGTGGAACTGTGATAGGATGCCACCTGTGCAACAAATCCAGTCGGGACATTTCCTTGCTCCTAAATATTCCACAGTCAACTGTCAGCTGTATTATAAGAACGTGGAAGTGTTTGGGAATGACAGCAACTCAGCCACGAAGTGGTAGGCCACGTAACATCAGTCCAACATCAGTGTGTGACCTCACAAATGCACTTCTGGAAGAATGGACAAAAATTCCCATAAACACACTCCTGAACCTCTTCCCAGAAGAG